GCCACTATTCTCTGCTGGGCCACGTTGAGCATCACTGTCTTGCCAATCCAACCCTGAACACAGCGGACGACAGTCGATGCTTAATCACGTTAAATAGCAATGACTCACAATCTCCGACCCGAACACAGCGGACGACAGCTGATAATCCCGGAGCACGTCTGAACACGATGCACTAAGCGTCTGAGTCAACCGCATCGACCACGACCACATATGTGGCTGCCGCCGCATTGACGTGCCATCCCCACTCCCCTTCCTACACAGAGAGCCATAGCACTCCTCACCCTCCCCCCCTACCCTAAGTCCTACCGTAACCGTTTGTCCACCGACCCAACACCCCCTCTTCGTACATTGGCTGCCTGTCTGTCTTTATCTGTCCTCTCGCACAAATTGGCCTTGGTCGGCCAGTTCGCTTTCTCCGTTGTGCATTTAGTCCGACGACGGGTCGCTGCCAGCTACTTTAAAGTCCACAAGTATATCTTGTTTCTCCGATGAGCCTTTCTTTTTCATATATTTATATGCATACATATGTAATATATAATAATACATGATTATGTGATGAGTATGGACGATTTATTAGATCAACCGAACTCACTTATTAAATCCGCAATCTAATCCTCCGTACAATGCGATTTTACCGAAAAAATTACCATTATTCCTGTGCGATAGGTTGAAAGTGTTGATGATTTAATCTGCGTGAAATAGCAGGAAGATAAAAAAAGTCCACTGTTTTCATTGGTGTCCAGACCTGGACAAGACGGACCGCCAGTGCCAAATACAAAAAAACATCTCTCATGTCTGACAGGCTTCCGATTCGAAACGCACGCACTTAGTTCCATCCTACGTTTTTTAAGCTATCAATAAACATTCCGCGCGCGGACCAATCTCCTCGGACATCTCCGAACCTAATGCAGCAATAGCCTGGTAAGCTTATCTGCTGTCCCTGCAAAAGCATCCATCGTCGCCCCTGCATCAACTCACACGAGGACGACTGCCATTAGCGCCGCTGATCACGTAAATTATGCGCTGTCGCCACCGCTTCGTAGGCAACATGGAAAGCCGCGGTAAACCGCCACAGACCAAAGCTTAAGACCACACGTCTCCCAATTAGCCCAAATTCAACACTGGAACCCATCATTCATCAAAGGCATCGGATAGGTAACTATAAACTAAGCGGGCAGTGCGTTCTGCTCTCCCTTCTATACATGGCCTTTATAAACATAAATAGAGCAGCCCCCCATTGTCTGCAAACGTGGCGCTTTTTGGGGACCAAGCCGTGCGTGGCTCGCGTAGATGTGCGTTTTTTATCTGTCAGCCACTAGAAAACAATCCCCGGGTTGGATGACTGGTTGGCTCAAGCAGTAATCTAGTGCCCATGAGAGGGAAAAGAGGGTGAGATCGATTATGGGACTGCTTCTTCAGAACACTCAAAACATAATCTGAGCTTGTAAACTGTCACGCTGGTCCTAAAACCGTGGCTTGGAAGACTGTCAATTGGCGGATTAAGTTGGTCTCCTTTGCACAATGGATGGTCAGGCAGCAATGACTCTCATTTTATGTGGCCCTTGTAGCAGTTCCACTAACTTGATATCCAAGTCATTCATTGTTAGCATGAGAAAGTGATCCACTGTACAAGAATCAGACGTTTGTGACACGCCCAGACGGGTTGTTTGACTTTGTAAACCACGGTGACCGATGCTGCCACCGTTATTTTTGGTTCTATCTTGGCATCGATCCCAGGTGGGTTGGTGGAAGTGGCGGTAGCGTGGTAATGCAACGCAAGTCTACTAACATCATAAATTAATTTAGACGCAGATCACCATTTCCACACCCCCTTTGCTGCGGATATAATCGTTCGCGACGGTCAAGCTGTCATCCACAAGTGCCAACGTGAAGCTATTGGAAGCTCCATTTAACAGGAAGGTGGCTTTTTCTTCAAGCTGTTTTTTGGTAGTAATGAGACTGCCCCAGATACCAAGACTATTGTGCTGAATTAAACTGATTTTTTTACTCCTAAGGCTCTCAGAAGAGGTACCGGAGGAGGCACGGGACAGCACACACTCAATTCTAAAAGTCCTATGTACTTATACGAAGAGAAGGGCCAAATTTAACTTTTGGCTTTACAAAACATTTATCACGACTTGTTGTGTCTAAGTGCCAAAAGGTGACCGACAAACCAGGTTTCATAAGTCGTATCAACAAAAAATAACGTACCAACGCACTGATGCTGTTCACGCAGACGGTAGCCACTTGGACAGTCGCAACGAAAACCTCCAGCAGTGTTAACACAGATTCCATCCTTGCAAACACTATCGGCAGAGTTGTCAGCGCACTCATCGATATCTGCAAAAAAGTCATAATTGCTATTTGTACTTAGACAACGGGATTAATTTTTGGCCCACAAGTATAAAACATCCAAGATAAATTGGTAGTTAAGGATGATAATTTCCTGGTTTATACCTCGCCTGATGTTTACTAAAGCTGCCCTATGTAGTGCCAATCCCATACCCTCCCCAACAGACTGACCATATGGCTGATAGCGTTGTGGTGGTTCTACAGCCCACCTCCTTCAAACTCGAGACGCCACTGACGTGTCCTCCCAGGGTAAATCTTGGTCGCCCAGTCGCGC